ACACCAGCATCTGAACCATAATACAAGGGTATAGAGTTTGCATGAGAAAATGCGGACACCAGTCTCTCTTAAACTGTGTCTTACACAAAGGACAGGCTTTGGATGCAGTGGCCCAATTTTAGCCCTCCCTTCATGTCTAAAAATAAGCAGTAATCTTAATAAAGGCAATAAACAAGCAGTTGCTAGAAGCAAAGTTGCCCAGACTCTTTCCTAATCCAAATTCCCCTGATACATATGGTATTTGCATCAGGACTGATACTGGTTAGTTTTCCTCGCATATCTTCTCCCCCTGTTAGTGCCATTTGCTGTGTGGGGGCCAGCACGAATGGGACTGGGTGCCCCTGCGTGGGCCCAGTGCCCTCCGCTCCTCCTCCTCTCAGCGGGAAAAGGGCAGAAACCACATGTGCCATCAGCAAGCCTCCCGCTTGCCAGATTTCTGTTCTTCCTCCTCCACCTTCATCTGCCTATGTTTCATAGAGGTCTTGACCACCTCGTGTTGTATTTCATGACAGTAAAATGCAGGAGCTGTCTCCTGTCTGACTTCCCTCCTATGCTCCCCAGCAAAGCCTGTATGGGAGGAAGGATGTTTTACCCAGAGCCAGGCAGGGTCCCCAGCAGCGCAGTGCTGGAGCAGTGATGACCAGCTGCTCTCTCTCTAGCTGGCCAAGACCTACTCATATGCCCATGGCTGGATGCACCGTGGCTGGAACTGCGGGGACTACTTTGCCGATGGCATCACGAATGGGGCATCCTGGTACTCCCTCAGCAAAGGTAAGGGCTGGGCAGGTGAGCACCACCCGCAGCAAGGTGTTGAGCTGAAGAGAGGTGAAGGGAGAGACAAGAAACCTCAGGACAGGATGGGCTAGGGAAGAGCTGTGGCGATAGCACTGTGCCCATTACAAGTCACCATTCTGGTGTCTGCATCTTAGATTGGGAAATGGCTTGGGAAGACTGGAAGCCACAGAAATAGCCGAGATCTGCAGAGAGCTGCTGTGTGCTGCTGGATGAAGGAAGCATTAATCTGTTAGTGTATTTGAAAATGCTATGGCGTAACTCCATCAAGACCCAAAACTGTGACCAAAGGGAAGATGTTTCTTGTAGCTGCTGGCTCCTGAAAAATCTGATTAAAAAAGGTACAATGAAGAAACTGAAAATCAGCAAATTAGGTTAGAAAAAAGATTGAAGAGGAACTGGAAAGAGATGAATAACCCCTGTGGTACCCAACCTCCCTGAGCTTCTGAAGGCAGAGTGGTGAATGATCCAGGTGAAGGAGAGAGTTGGGCAGCCATAAGGGAAGGGGTCTGCATGGGGGGAGAAGGCCGTAGTTGTGCTGTCATGGAGGGAGGAGGCTGCACCTGTGGAGCCAAGAGGGAGAGCGGGACAGTTCTGGTCAAGGACAGACAAGGACCAGGATGCCTGGGATAAGGGAATCGGGAGGGAAAGGGACCTTGCATTCCCCTGGCCACAGGCTCTTCTCTTCCAGGCATGCAGGACTTCAATTACCTCTACACCAACTGCTTTGAAATCACCCTGGAGCTGAGCTGCAATAAGTTCCCACCCGAGGAGGACCTGGAGCGGCAGTGGATGGCCAACCGGGAAGCCCTTGTTGCTTTCATTGAAGAGGTGAGAGGGCAGCCCTGAGACCTACACCCTTTTCCTGCAGGCCCCCATGTGCCCTGATGGTAGGGGACCAGTAGGCACTAGGGGTGGAAGGGAGGTGGTCATGGAGCACACTGGGTGCTCTAGGTGGTGGCCTTTGGGGAGGCTGTTGTGTCCTAGACTGGCTCTTCTGAGGACAACCAGGAACCTATGGGGAAGGGTGGTGTTGTCCCCAGAGCTCTGCCCTCCTCCACTGCTCAGCAATACCCTCTTGAACAAAGGAGGGTTCTTCACCCAGCAGTCTGTCTCCCTCCCTGCAGGTTCACCAGGGCATCAAAGGGATGGTGTCAGATGAGAACAACAACGGCATTGCAGGAGCAGTGATTTCTGTCCAGGGAATCAGCCATGACATCACCTCTGGTTGGTTGTCGGTCCCCTTGCATGCTGTCCCTTTTGGATACAGCCTCTTGGAGGCTATCTGGGTATGTGGGAGGAGGATAGCAAGCAAGGCTATAATATGTGTGGCCAGCATGCTTTTCTTCCCAAAAACGCTAGCTGTGACAAATGGGCCTGTGCATCCTGGACCAGGGAGGACTTAGAAAATCTTAGGAAAGAAAGAGGTGAGAACTGGAACACAAACTTATTGTAAAGGACTTCAGAAAGTCAGCTCCTGTTTTATCTGAGAGAAGAAAATACATTTGTATATAACCAAAGAGAAGATTGAGGCAATAATCTACTCAAGCATCCAAGTGTCTACACAGAGCTGAAATAGCTGTTAGCAAAGGACACGATGGCAGAACAAGATGAAAGACTGAAAGTTCAAGCCTGACAAATTTAGACTAAGAATAAAGTGCCACTTTAGTTTATCCCAGTTGTGGTGGTTTCTCCTCTGCTGGCCGATTTTAACCTCCTTTTCATAAACGCCCTTCTCCAACCGGACCAGACATTACAGACTAGCTGCAGAAAATAGTTGATATTGCAGCTCTTCAGAGGTCAAACTATGAAATCATCAAAACTCCTTCTGCCCATAGGTCTGTGTTTCAGTAACACTCTACTATATGGCACTTATTATGCCAACCTGCATAAGAAAGGGGAGTGTGCAAGAGATCACAGAATCGCAGGGGTGCTGGCTGCAAAGGGCCCTCTGAGCTCTCCTGTCCAGCCTCCTGCTTGGAGCAGGATTGTCCCCAGTGTTGGCTCTGATCAGCCACCTCTCCCTCCAGCAGATTCTCGCTCACCCCCAAGGATGGAGATTTCACAGCCTCTCTGCTGACCTGTGCCAGGGATGCACAACCTTTGAGGTGAAGCTTGCTCCGTCATCCACCGTGAAGCTCCCCAGCTGCTGTCTGTGGCCGCTGCCCCTCCTTGTATTGGCTGGGCCTCA